TTCCAGATTCTTTTTTTTGTTTTATTATTAAGTTTGATATGTACGTTTTCTAACAAGTTGTCATTGTCACTATCATTCACAAGAAAACACCAATAATCCAATTTCGATTGTTCTTATATGCATTCTTTTTCTTTTCTTTTTTTCGTTAAAAGAAACTAATACGATCTGAAGCCGTAGTATCATCAATTGCGTAATTCTCTTAAGAAGTACTTTTTTTTCCTCCGGTTAGGATAGTAATTTGTCGCATTGCATGTCTGTTACTGATAGATAGGTAGAAAGATACGTTTGTATTATTTTTCTCTCTTGAGCGAACACATAACATACAGTTGTAATAATGACCTCGAAATATAATATATAAACACAAAGGAATCGTGTGTGTGTGAAATAGAAAAAAAAAAATTTAATCTACAAAACACACACATTTCTTTACTTTCTTATTTTCACATACTATTTCTTTTTCCTTATTATTATTCCATTTAATCTTTGTTTAATATCGATTCGACAACCTCCTATGAGTATATAAACCGCGCGCGCATGTGTACTTATTGAGCTCAATTGCATGTGAACATGATCGCATACATATATATTTATATAAATGTTAAGGACAACGATGATCGATGTAGAGCATCTGTTTGACATAGTAATAGAATCTAATTGTTATAGTAACACAAAAAAAAGATGAGATAATCAATATAAACTTCAATTTGACAATTATATTTCTTTATTACATCTAGAAAGATAAGTTATTTTTTTTCAATTTAAGCCTCATCACATTTCATTAATCTGTCCTTGAGTTTCGATAAATATGAAAAAGATGATAGATTATCATCATGACAAATACGTTTTTTATTATTTTCTTGATTGTTCACTGTCTCATCATCATCATCATCATCAAATCCACTGGCTGTATCATGTATATGAATATATGATTGGATATTTGTTGTAGGAATTTGTTGATAAATTTGTTGTTTTTCAAAATGATTTGATGGTTCTCGTTCATCATCTGTACGTGGATTAATATAAAAATCCCATTGATATGATGTAAATAAACGTTTATTATATTCAAAAATAATTTCTTGTTGTTGTTTTTTTTTTACGTTCAATTAATAAACGTTTAGCTTCAATTTTTTGTTGTTCATTAATAAAACATTGTTGTTGATATATTTCCATAGATGTCAATATATTATTAGTTTCTTGATCAATTAGTTTTTGACGTGTCTTTTTACGTGACCAATTGATTAAATAGTCTACAAGAATTTAAAATATAATAATTATGTTTAGTTTTACAATATAATCACAATAATGAATATTGTTGATTTGCTTGTACAAAAAGAAAAAAAAGAATCCAACAAATTAACTTTGATTGGCATACTGACCTTTCACTATATAGTAACATCACGCGATCGGAAGTAATCTATTTCCGATTAGATGAAGGTGTATGTCACTAAGGAATGTATTTTTTCTTTCGTAATCATATTCGAAATTTTCAATTGAAGCAATAATGATTTATATTTATTTTTAATTATATAAAAAATGGAATTAATCGAAATTCTAACTATATATAAGTTAATAGATGAACATTTTACTTACTTGCAATAAATTCAATTGCATCTTCTGGTCGATAGATTATCACATAAGCCAGTGCATAGCTAAGAGGTTCACCAATGTTTAAACATAAATAGTGATTAGATAAATTATTATTGAAAGATGATGATAAGTTGATTTGGTCAGAGTCGATTGTAAAATTTTGAGTATTAATAGATTTTGATACATCAAAAACATCACTTATAACATGTTTTACTTTTGAATTCATTAAAAGAATTTCAAATACTTGACTGTTTGTTTTTTAATTTATGATGTAATGAGTCATCACTCTAGGGTTTCTTTTATAAAATGCGAGATGAAAATGATGAATGTATAATGGAATAAATCTATGGTATCATAAGAATAGAAATAATTTTGTCGTAAAATAATATGTAATATTTTTATCGAACAAAACGATTGATCTTTCTTAAGAATTTATCAAAATCGTAACTAGTTTAAGTGAAATACATAGGAGATTAATTTAAATTGACATGAAGTTAACAAGAAAATAGACAATGATCGATATTTTTATGTCTATATGGTTACCATAAGACTATGCGTAAGCGAAGTTTCATTGATATGACATACTTTGTAAAGATATTGATATAACTTTTCTGACTTTGGATCTGACTACATGTTGTTCATCAGATATAACTAAATATTTATCTTTACTTATCTATAGATTATTACCGAATATTTAATTGATTCATTCGTTGAAATTGTTTTGACAAATATATTTTCTACGAAGAGAATGTTATCAAAATGATTTTTATAGTAATATAGTCGTTTTCTTTTGCTAGTTTCTGCAATAATTAACTATAGATTAGAATTGATAAATTCGTTAATAAGTGTATTCTTAATATTATTATACTTGCTCAAGATTATATTCATTTCTTTATCAAGTGATCAACAATGAACTATATCGATGAGTTTATATTTATTAATTTTTCTACATTATTTGCATGTTGATGAAAATTTCATATGAATCATTATTCAAATTACTTAAAAACAATAAAAATATTTTTGTAAAATACAATATGAATAGCAAGTAAACTTTTAACTCTTATTCAAAAATCTAATTCCTATTCAATGCAGAATAAGAAAAGAAAAACAACGTTGTCTTCTATCAGGCATGCTTTATTACGTTCTACAACGCAACGTATAGTTAAACAAGACCAAAATAGAATCATAGCCAATGTTTTATTCAGTGTTTAAGTCAAAGGTGATGACATCCCTGAGAAGATCAAAGAGAAAATCTGCATATAAGATTGATCAGAGTTAGCTTGCATCTAAAAACATTTTTTTTTTAATCAAATAAATGTTTATTTTTCCATTAAACATAATAATATTTGTATTCAAAATAATCGAAAATATTTACATAAGTTATATTCTTTGTTAATCTTAGAATAATAAAATAAAAAAAATTCATTCCAAGAGGTCTATGGCATGAATAAATTAAAGATGGTATTGAATGAGTCACATTTTTGCATCATTACTTATTTTAATCAATAAAAATCGTAAGTTATTCTTTGTTATATTCACAAGTAAAATTAGTAATCAATATGATAAAATAAAAACAAATGAGTTCTTATAAAGACTAAGAAATGCAATATTAAGTATATAGATTATTCTTTTTTTAGAGTTGATGGATGTACGTCCGTTGTCGTCGAGTATAACAACCTACACAAAACGAAATGATTAAGAAAAAGAATTGATTTTAAATCAAAATGGCATTATTTTCTTATATCATAAAATATTGACTCATATTATATCCCTAAAACAACATACAAGTAAAACGTTTGATCATATCAAATAACTAACAGTAAAACGACATACACAACAACAAGCATATTAAGAATAGTATGATGTTTTTGTTTTTATTTTTCATTTTCGTTGTTGTTCATGGACAATTATCTGTAGATGAACTATTCTTTTTTAATTCAAAATATACATTAAATGGTGATTGTAATGATTTTCAATATACATTTACGAATATTCAAATAAATACAAGTGATTATAATCAAGTTATTTTAAATTGTAATTTATCAAGTATTATTTTTCGAAAGAAAGATTATATATCTTCATCAATTTGTCCTAATGATGAAAATTATTTTAAAAATTTTCTTATACGTTTTCATCATTTATCACAAACATTTATTCAAGTAAATCAAATTCATTTACATGGTATTGAACTTTGTTCACTTGATGATCTTATTCGAAGTAGTTATAATGAATATTCATATTATCGTTCTCAATGGGCTTTATTAATTAATTTAGAAAATTATAATAGACAAGAAAAACATCATATTGCAATAGCTAGGAATAGTGAAATGACATTTATTTTATTTATATTATCAAAAGAATATGATAAAACATTAATAGAAAATGATATTGAACTTATTTTTCCTAATGAAAATATGTTTAAATTTAATCAATCATCTATTAATGTTTGGCGTATTGATCAAGGTTATGTACGTAGTCCAAATTCTTTAAAAAATTCAATTTATCAATTATCAAAATCAAAATTTACTCTTTTTAATAATGAAACATTTATTCTTTATGGTACACAAAGATCGTATCCACGTCGATTTGTTGTTTCAATTGATGAAACACTAGTTAAATGTAATTATGATTATATACTTCGATGTACATTTCCAATTTTACCATTGAATATACTTGATATACATCAACCTATGTTAAAAGTTATTTATAATGGAGAATCTATTTTTAATGCTACTTTAACATTAATTCCACGTACTCGTCTTCATAATGTTCCAATCAATCATAATATCTTTGATATAGGAACATTTGTGGTTAATATTGATAAAAATCTTTGCGCGTAAGATGAAATTAGATTTTTTTTAAAAGATTATTCAAGCAAATTTCTTGTTTTTTTTTGTCTCTAGAAATGATTCATTGAAATCATTGTTTAGTTTTATTATTCACCTATGGAAAGAAGATATTATTGGTACTGTACGATATCAAAAAATTGTCAAGGATGATATAGGACCAGTTGATTGTAATACAACTGCTGAAATTGGTCAGGAAATTGAAAAAGTTATGAATCCAATATCGATTGATGATATTATATCAATGAATGTTGATCTTACACATCAATGGTATGATCATCGAAATTGTCGAGCAGAATACACAAGAATTTCATTTAATAGAGATTGAAATGTTGATAAATATTTTATTTTGAAATAAAAACAAGTTCTTATTTCTTATAGTAAATCATTTTTGTAACTTATTCATACAAGTTACTTAAGAGAGAGTCCGCCAGAATACCGACCATAGTGGCGGCGGAAAAATTTTAGATTTCGATTTTGATCA